CCCGGGCTAGATGCCACTGCCACGCCTCCCAGCCCACCCACTACAGTGTTGAATTTGATTGTACAGACCGCTTCGAAGAACGCCATTAAGAACACCCAGCGCGGTCTATATGTGAATCTGCCAAAGGAGACGCACTGCTACTTTTTCACCGACAACCGGAAACTGCAGGGAACCCTGGTGTCCTCGTTGCCTTCACTGAGCCCGCCCAGGTGCCACGAATCGTGGCGTTCCTCAAAAAGCAGGCTCTCTTCTACACCCTGCTTGCCAGTTGTGTTCGCGAGCAGCAGAAACAGTATAATGGTAAGTTACGCGCATCAATTTGCTTCCACTTCCTCGAAAATACCTCTTTCCGTCTTTCTAACTCGATGCAGACATGGACAGCACTGTGATACTAGAGTAACCGCAGTCTCCTTTAACCAGATCACCGTGGAATTGCAGCATCCGTACGAAGAGTCGCTGGCAACAGTGGATTTCCTACTAGAGGATGGTCAGCCCACATGTAGTGTCTACTGTTTGAGCAATGAATATGAGCTGCTGTCCCAAAAACTCACCCGCACCGTCCGCAAAGTAGTATCCATACCAATGGTCATCTACAAGCTATTAAAGTGCTGGGATGAGGAGCACGAGTTCAAACTGCACGGCGTTATTGGTCCTGGAGCGGGAGCAGCGGGCTCAGGAGCAATTGGAGGCGGTGGAGGCATGGGTGGTGGAATTGCTTCAGGCGGAGGCAGTGGCTTCAACCAGTTTGCAATGGACACGGCACCGCCGCCAGATGCAAGTCTACCCGGTGGGGGTTTCGCCAACATCAGCAACCTAAAATGGACGCTAAATCTCGATCTCTAGCGGATGCTTTTGCCGCCTCCACATCGGCTGCCGCAGCCATTGCGGGACTGATCAATCTCAAGCGAGAAACGGATCCCCAGTCTGGCAGTTCAACTGGCAGTAGCGCATTGGTCAGCGGAAGCTCTAGTTCTACAGGCGCCGTCAAGACGAGCGAGCACGACATTGCTGACAAGTATAAAAATATCTGGAAGGATAAGACTCCGAATCTAAAGCATTGTGTCAGCATCACGCCTATCCCTGGAGATGGCAAATCTACGGGTCCACAAGCGGAGTCCCCGGCGTTGATGTTCAGCGAACGGGGGGCATTGAGATTATTCCATTAAACGCCCAGGCTGCTGTCGCTGGAGGCAGCGTCGCCTCCTCGTCCACTGCTGCTACGACAATAACAATCACTCCTATAACGGGTAAGGACCCCAGTAAGGATTCGTCGAAAAAGAGCACTCTTCTGCGGCTGGAGTAAGTGTAGCCACCAAGCGTCCCCACGAGAGCAACACCAGTAGCTCCTCTGCGTCTGGTGGGGGTGGCTCTGGCAGTTCCATGTCATCTTCAACCAGTAGTGGCTCCTCGGACACGCAAAAAGAGAAAAAACGAAAAAAGAAACGTGACGATTCGCCCATGGGACCGCCGGAGAAGATCTATTCTCGGCAAAACTCGCCGGCGGCTGGCGGAGATGCATCAGCGGCTGGTGGAGTGGTTAGAAAGTTCTCCTCGCCCTCGTCGTCGCCTAAGGCAGGTGGCGCTGGTCAGGGTCTGATGGCGGGAGTGCCGACAGCGCGTCCCAGTCCGAAGCACTCGCCCGTTTACAGCAGTCCGAAACATAACACCGCCTCCAACAGCCCGAAGTCGCCGTTTGGCACGCATTCGCCCAAACATGGCTCCTCCGGAAAGCCGAGTATGTCCACGTTAAGAGTGCAGCCACAGCCGCCACCATTTTGAGTCCTAAGGGCGATAAGTCCTCGTCGGCTGTGATGGCCACATCATCAGGACCATCCGCATCCTCGGGATCTGGTGGAGCTCCTGGCCTTGTACGTTCTTTGCCAGCGTTGGAGCACCGCCGCCACCACCGCCGATTCCTCCATTAGCAAGCGCTAGTGGATCTGTCGGCAGCAGCCAGAATTTGAAGAAGGACAAATCCTCTTCCGGATCCAGTTCAAGTTCCACTTCATCCTCGGCAGCTGCGGCTGTTTCATCTGGCGGAGGCATTTCGCCGGCCAGCGTGGCGGCTGCAGTGGCTGCCCTGAAATCTACTCAGCAACAGATGAAGTCGGTCGCAAGTCTCTCGCATCTTGCAGCTGGCGGAGGATTAGGTAGCTATGCGGCGTCGTCGGGAGCGGGCGGATCGGCTGGATCTGCAGTGGTGGTGGGAGCAGGAGCAGGAGCTGGAGCGGGGGCTTCCGGACTGGAGCTGAGTGCCCTGCGCAAGGGCATGGCGGGAGGTGCGGTAAGTCCGTTTTCATTATAAGTGCTCCACACCACACCAACCCACCCCCAGCATCTCCCACTGGAAGCCTAACACGTAGTTTACTCTTAACCAATGCAGAATCCAAAACAGAGCGATCCTATATTTAAACTAATGCAAGTGCTGTATTTACATTAGCTATAAAACGAATTGTAATTCGCCTACCTCTGCTGTAGTTGAAAAGATTATTATTACTGCTACTATTATTTTTTGTTGTGTCTCGTTTCCTTTTTCTTATTTTTGTAAATATATATTATCCTATTGTTTCCCACATACTGCTGCATCCGTTTTATTTTCGACTAAATCCAAATCTTTTTTCGGTAATGGGGTCTTTCCAACACTAAGTATCCTTAAAACCCAAGATATAATCGATTTTCCTGCATTGAGCACGTATGTATATACTTAATTTGTTTGTTTTGTATTGTTGCTCAGCCTGCATGTTTCCTGTAGAAAACCAAAGCATACAAATAGCGCACAAACTTCTGTATATCTATGGAAACCACAAATTCCGGATGGTTTCTGGAGGTTTTTATTATTTTTAAGAGTCTTAAAACCATTTTAAGCGTAATATTTTATCTATAATTTATGCACATGCTATTGGCTGCTCTATCCTGCCTTTTTTATTACGTTTTACTAATTGCTTTAATAAAAGCTTTACATGACTTTTTAAAGGTTTCCTAGTTTGATCATAAAACCCTATATTGGTTTTTGATATATCCGTTTAGAGTTACTAAGGAATGAGCAAGCGATCATCTTGCAAATTATTCCATTATAAACATATTTGTATAACTTTTCGAACTTCTCTAAAGAAATGATTTTCTCTGCTGACTTATTGTTACGCCAATTTACTAACGGGGTCTCTCTTGTTTTCTCTTCCTTTTTTCTCTGTCTGTATTTTCCTACACGACATTCTCACTTCTTGGTGGGATCCTTAAACAATTGTGAAATCCTTTATTAATTTTTTACCACACGTGATGTTCACCTTTTGATTGTTATAATTTTGGTTCTTTTCTGGTTTATTTTTTTTCGTTTGTTCCCTAACACACACACACAACCACATGCTTACTTTGTCAGGTTAGTTTGATGACGTCGACGGCAGCTTTAGCGCCAACAATCCTGGCAGCAACAACAACAGTGGCAGCGGGAACAGCGGCATCGTCGGGGTCATTGGCGCTTCCAGTCTGGCGGGAGTGGGTCAGGGTCAGGGAACAGCGGTAGCAGCAGCAACAGCAGCAGCAACACTGGCAACAGCAACAATGCTGCAGCAGCAGCAACAGCCGGGAGTAGCGGCAACTAGTAGCTGCTTGGCCACCAGCGGGGCCAGCAGCGACTCCGCCGGCGGCAGCACTCCGGCTGGAGCCTCCACGGAGTACATGGTGAAGCCCAGCAGCCAGGAGGGCCTCAAGTTGACCATCAACAAGACGGGCAGCAGCAAGAACTCCGGCTCCGGCTCTAGTTCCTCCTCCGCCAGCCAAGTGAAGGCGAAGGGCAGCAGCAGTGGCGCGACGAGCTTCGCTGGATCCTCTGGTTCCATGAAGAAGCAGCATACCGGGCTGAAGCCTGGCGTTAACAGCGGACCCGCTTCCAAGAAGGCCACAGCAGCAGCCTCGGTCTCTGGAACATCGTCCAGCAAGCATCTCTTCCAGAAAGCCAACTCCTCGGGCAATCTCAGCAGCAAGCTCAGCGGATCGGGTGCCGGCGGAGGAGTTCCGCTGACCAAAAGCAACAGTACCAACTCTTTCCAGGAGCACAACGCGCCTAGGCGACGGCCCAGCATGGGAGCCTTGGCTAGCGGCAGCAGTGGTAGCGGCAGTGCACAGCGCAAGTCCAGCTCCATTTCGGCGGGGGCCAGCGGATCGTCGGGCGGAGTCTCGCCGGCCCTCAGCGGCTCCATGTCGCAGCCACCACCTCGATTTGATCACCACACCGATATGATGACCATATTGCAATACGCCTCTCCAACAATGGCAGCTAGCATGGAGGGCTTCATTAAGGGGCTGCACAACAAGTTTCAAATCCCGAAACTTTCGCAGCGAGGAAGCGGGGGCAATACAGCCAGTGGACGCAGTACCCCAAGTGGAAGCGCAGATCTGGTTGGAGCAGGAAATTCATCTTCGATGTCTGGAGTTACTGCCAGCTCGGCTGGATTGGCGGAGCCGGAAGCCAAGCCGCCGGCACCTCCTCCCCCGCCTGGCAATGATGGACTACTCAACCTGAGCAGCACGGGGGGGATGGCATCAGGGGATGGCATCGACGAGGAGCTTCTGGCTAGCTTGGCTGGCGAATGACAGAAGGTAGACAATCATGAGATATTCCTGTTGCTCTATGCTATTTTCATTTAGCTTAGTGACTAAGTTGTGAAGAATTAGTTGGAAGCCATTAGTTACATGATTTTGGGTTAAAGGAACGATGGGGGCTAAGATCATTAGCTTATTTCTTAACTCCATTGGCAGATACCAATATACTACTAAGGAAGATTTTAAAATACGACACGAATTTGGTACAAAATCTCAGAGATCAATGATTCTGTGAAGTCGAACAAAAGATAAACTTTGGTTAAAAATTCATCAGGTAAAACTTAAGAAAAGCGATATATTAATGCTCGAAAAACATCGCTCTAAATGTTATGTAAACTATAATAAATGTATTCAGTTGGATGTTTTGAGTTTTTGGTGAAATGATGTCAAGTAACTTTAAGTATTCTCATAATATGATGCAGATTTATTATTCACTTTTAAATGCTTGTAAATAATGTTGAAACAGCTCTTAAAAAGTTTTTTTCAAACTCTTGCTCAGAAAACCTTTCCACGGAAGCTCTGAAAACGAAACAAAAATGACGAAAGGGTTATATATAAAGGCATTTTTTAGTTACCTAGCTGCACTTCGGATTCCATCCATTTCTTCGTTATTAACAATGATATTTAATATATTTTCTGCGTATTCCACTGCGTCTGTAGCGAGGAATCCGTTCTGACTTCCCTCAGAGGTTTCTACAATGTCAAGCAAAGGACCTCCTGACCTGTGGGCCACCATTATAAGGCCAGCCGCCATGCATTCAACGATTCCGATTCCGAAGTGCTCGTTCCACATGGTGTGAATGCCAATATCAGCGGCCTGGTACAGTTTAAGCAGGTCGTCGTAGGGGACATTCACTTTGAACTGAACATTGTTCTCGAGGGACAGATGCTTTGTCAAGTCTTGCATGTTTTTCAACCGATCATAGTCCTCTTCATTACGGCAGGAGCCCACAATGACCAACTTTATTCTGTTCCACAGAGACTCATCCTGGGCCAAAAGAGTGCGCAGCTCGTATACGGCTTGTAGTTGGAGGGGGTGATCTTTCTCCGGACGAAATTGGCCGACAGATAGGATGATAAACTCCTCGCCCTTCCCCGTGTGCTGGAGGTTCTTAAGGTGGGTCACCTCGCACGGAGGATACACACGATGAGTCTTGAAGGGCACATCCCACAGCTGCAAAATATGATTCTCAGTCCACGAGGAGTTCACCATAATAGTCTCCGCGCAACAACCAACCCACTTGTACATCTAGAATAATAGAATTTAGTATGATTATGCATTTGAGGAGATAAGTTTTCCAAAATTCACCCTTGAAAACAGTCGGTAGTAGGCCAGTTTAGTCCAAGTCAGGAACGGATTTCTTGCCACGTATTTCTTGTTGTTGTGGACATCTGCCTCTGCTGAACCCTTTTCAACATGTCCGTGCTGATAACCGGATAGTGCACGTAGCAGCCCACTTTGGACTGGGCCAAATACCGAAACAGAGGAAACGTAAAGGCGTATCCCATGGTGTCAATGAAGATGTCCGGCGGGAACTTGCAGAGCGCTTCCAGGCCCAAGACCATCGATCCAATACTCTGACCCAGCAAAGTAAAGTGCGGATAGTTCTTGGCTTCAATCCAATGGCGTTGCTTCAGGAATACGAACTTTACGTTGTCGCTATCAACGGCGATGTTGAAAACATTCTTGGCCTTTTGCAATATGGAATTGGGAGAGGCGTCTATATCGCCGGTGTAAATTATCAACTTGGCGTTTTGGTACTTGTCCTTTAAGAAAAGGATTTTTTGTTAGTTTTTTAAAAAATATGGAAGCCATTGCAGTAACGACACGGACTGAAGAGAAAATGACTTTTGAGAATTTACTGGAGGGATACACACTAAAAATAATATCAGTTTTAAAAACCAGTTTATTTATTGTAAATATTGTGGTTTTTATACATAATGTATGTAAAGAACTAAACAAATATTTAAAATACTAGCCTCTTATTCAGTTTATATCAATAATCCCGAGAACAATAATAAAAGTTTGACTATATTAAAAAACAATTTTTTTTATATTTCGTAAGCCCTGCATTAAGCAATTGCTGATCACCGGTTAGAACCCTTGAAGACACGTATGTTTTTCGGTTTTTCCAATATTACCTGCAGTGCTTTTACGGCGCACCATAGAACACGTTCACCCCCGCCACCCGCATTACAGTACGGATGGAAAATGCCAACGTTAATTGCATTTTCCGAGGACGTGTGTAACTTCTTTTTCCGGCTTACCAACCATTGCCTTAAGGAAATAAATGAGAGTATTGCCACTAACAGGAGCGATGACAACACCCAGAGACTGTAAATAGGGACAATTAGTAAATCGGTTAGTCTGATGGTGGGTATTCTTACAGTAACACAAACATTCTCGATTTCTTTTCAACGATTCATTATTCTTACACGTAAATAAAAAATATTGCACTATCTCGAAACAGGGATGGGCGATATTAACTCTCTCAACGGATGCCGATATCTGCGATTCGAGAACGTTAACTTAAGAGTAATAGGTATCGATAACATTTTAAAATTTAAATTGTTATATCTATGTACATAGCCTAATCACACAAATTCCCTTTCAGCTACTTTTTTTTTCTAAAGCCTAGTACTAGCATCGACAAAAACCGCGAGCGAGTGAGCGAAGGCAAATAAGCGGCTAACGCTTTTCGTAGAGTCTGTTTTTCAGCGCGATACTCAGATGAGCTATGGAATTACCAGAAAAATATACCAGATTTACCAAGTGAATTTTGATGAACGCCGTTAGCCGCGGCCCAAAGAATAAGAAATTAATCTTTGGCGGTGTTTGTGCAAAAGAGCTACGGACACAAAAATTAAAAATGGAATGAAAACCCAAAAAACAACCGCAGAAGGTCAGGGCGATGAAAAAGGACGCCTCTTCCAAGCTGTTGCATATTATTGTAGGACTTTACCGACAGGAAGCAATACCACAACAGGGCAAATCCGCAGAAAAGTTGAAGTGCTGGAGGAGATCCACTGGTTACGTTGTACTAATAGAAACATCTTTTTAGCAGAACCACCAGAACTATCTCCGAAAAGCTTTCTCCACCAGAGGTCGGTGCCGGAATAAATCAGAAATAATTCAAGTAATACAATTATTAAACAAATATGTTTTTATTTTTTATAGCTGGATAAAATAAAGTGCGTTGCTGAATTTGTTTTGTGATATTACTTTGCATTAAAAAGGACTGGACACGTGGTCTACATTGGTCACATGTTCGATCTGGGTCCACACCTTGGACTCGCTTCACACACCGCGCAGATCCTGCAACTCCTCTAGAGCCACTTTCATGCGCTCGGGCACTGCTTTTGGACACCGCCGATTCCTCGTTGTCCACGTTCCACGATGTCACGCTCCTCCTTCAAGCGGACGTACTTGCTCTCAAGGAGTTGCAGCAGCTACAGGGCATCTTCTGGACGTATCTTGCCGGCCGTGGCCTTGGTCTTTTCCCAATTTTCCAGGAAGTCCACAGTGCGTGTCTCGACAGCCTCGATCTTGGCTGCAGGCTGGTGACCTGAGTCGGGATGGGTGTCCATGCGATTGATAATCTCGTTGAAGGCAGACCACTCACGCTCGATATTGTCCACATGCAACCAGTTGTTGGGAAACTGGAACCGCTGGCGCTTCAGGAGCTCCCTGAACCCAAGCGATTATGTCCACCTCGATGCTCTGCATCTCCATATCGGTACTTGGACACATTGCCATGTCTCCCAACAGGGAGCCGAACTTGCCGAGTGTCTTTTTGTGCGAGGCATCGTATTTCAAAGTATGTAACCTTAGCTTGGACTTTGGCGTAATCAATAATTATTGCCTTATGTCATTCAAAATATACTCTGATTTCAACCTGGTTTCCCTAGAAATCCTCCAAGCAGTTACGCCGCGCCGTTCGTTCAACGAACTCCTTTTTTTCAATCGGACTTATGTATTTAAATAAAATAAACCATTTAATTTAAATTAAGATTAATACGCAAGGATTTTGAAAAAAGGACCTCAAAGTTGTTGTTTTTTTTGAACCGCAATTACAGACGATCGGATTCTTGGTTTGTTAGTTCGTCGTATCATTTGAAAAGCGCCACTCCTTATCTTTTACACCCATACTTAAAATTTTTTTAGGATTTTTTGTAAGAAACTCATAAACTAAAGAAGTCATAGTAATAGAGATATAGCTGCTGTGAAATATTTGTCAATAGCTGCGGGCCAAATGATGTTCTGCCCAAAAACAAAACTTGCCTTGCCAAAACTTGTCCTTCATTCTAAAAGCTCTCAACAGATGGCGCTGAATGTAGTGTTAAGAAATGCATACTTTTGGGGAAAACTAACTGAAGAAAACCCCGTTTAACCTAGATTTTTTTAATGTAAGTGATAACGATTTGAAAAGAGCTACTATTATCACTAGTGACTATAATGCCTGATTTGGTGCATGTGGCCTTAATCATTCAGCGGTGTTGTTACTACAAGATTCAGATACGATACGAAAATCAAGGATAATAAAAACTATGTATGTAGTTGTCGGACTTCGCGTATACTTCGGTACTTCGGTAAATGTTATTTTTTAAGAAAACCATGTTTCCGACGCTCTTTTAATCGCGGGGTTAGGGTGAATGGTAAAAAGCTCTCCAGAGCTCCCACTTTAGCAATTAAATAACTAAATCTATCTTGTGTTCAAAATACACCATTTCATTAGATTAGTTTATTAAATTTAAAGTTTGATGTAATAAGAACTGCAAGAAACCATTGCATATGTATTTAATATTAAAGAACGTTTAAGTCTTTAATACACGCTCATAGGCAAAGAAGTGGTTTATCTTTGTGATCCATAATTTCAAATTTTAAATGCACCTTTTGTTTGCATCTTAATAATGAAACTTCCTAAATGTGTCGGGTCTAATATATTTATTTTATTAAGAAAAATTTTCAAATTTCATTTAAGATCTGGATAATATATATGCTTGTCAATCGATAGTTGGTACCACCCCCAGAACTCGGTCGTCGAAATGATACACCATTACTGAGCATGCGCTCACTTAATGGAACTTTAAAGGATAAATACAATTATACTCGCCTCGTCTTAAATTCGAGACAATTTTATAAAAAACACGAAAAATGATATTTATCTGATAAACAATAAGCGTTGAGTGCAAGTAAATCGGGTCTTGTTAATAAGCCACTTGAAAACCAAAAACTGGTTAATTTTATAAAGATAAAACCGAAATAGTACATCCCATACATACATATTAAAATGGTAAGGATGAAAATGGGTGCCTGCAAAATTAGAAGTGATAAAATAAATGAAGAGTGAAATTAAAGTTTTTCCTGCTAAGAAAAAGTGTGGAATGGTTGAAAACCCACTACAAAGACTATCAATTATTGAATCTGACGGGTTTAGGCCAGTGTTCAGATACATATATTATGTATGTGGGTGTATATACGTATATGTCTATATATACAGACATATACTTATGTACTCGTGATTAATTTGTAAAGGCTGCAATACAGTCTATCCTAATTCGGAGTTGAAGTATATAATGAATTTAAACTCTTTTAATTCTTAAATACAGTTACATATATTGATTAGTTTCTTCTAGTTTTATCTTATGCGAATGAAATTCCGAGGCAATGCGGTAGTATACACATGCATAGAAATCTTTTCAATTGAAAATATATAGTGTGGACTACAAGCAGATAATTATTGAGAAGCTGTTTCGGTGAAACCGATTAACTCGATTTCCTCAAAAGCTTTATGGTCGTGAACATTTATAAAATGTTATAGAGGGTGACAAACCATTTATTGTTTCCTTTTATTTTCCTTACATAATACAAAATTCAACTAACAAAATTAAAATGTAATTTAAGTAATCCTGTAATGTATAAAATGTACACATTGAAATAGGGAATATGGTTGTACAACGATGAAGAGAGCGTATACCTATTCTTAATTAACATATACTTTAAATTAGTTTGCCCACAAATTGTAAATTAATTTTACAATAGTGCATTGAAATGAAAATAATTTTTTTTGGGATTTTGAAATATTTTGTTTGTAAGTTTGCCCAGTAGACATCATGGAGTAGCTGTAGCTTGTGACCATCGAGAAGTACATAAGCTGGACAAAAGGGATGAAACATATATGATCTTGTGATGCCTTTCCAGATCAAACGGCAGCGAATGTTGAGTCCTAAATAACATTTTACGTTATATTTATATAGCTTTTCTTTATCTGACAGAACTTGTTAACAGTGATAATCAAATTCTGTCATTTATGAACTCAAAAGCAGATTAAAGGTAAAGAGAGCTTTGCCCGTGTGATCTAGTCGAAGTATAAAAGCTAAATTTATTCGAAATGTAAAAAAAATAATGAAATTAAATTTATAATAATGGGTAATATATAATATAAATATAAAATATGACTTAATGAACCTCAAGGAATTTTAAAATAGTTTGTTTACATGTTTCTTTAATCATAGGTTATAAAAAAAATTATTTGTTGTTTTTACTATTTAGTGACTAGATTTTTTAAATTTGTATATTTCAGAATAACTATACAAGGAGATACTGGCCGATCGTACTTTACCTATTTTCGATATCATTTTCTTTCACCGGTAAGTACAGCAATATATGGTTAATATAAGAATAAAAGTTATTGTGACCCAGCGTTGAAAAGTGAAGTATTAAATAGGCGATCTTAGCCTGCGGAGTTGTAATTAGTTTTTATACTTACTATATAGGCTTATTTTTTTCATTCCCCTATGATACATTTGTAATTTGGAATATTATATATTTTTAATATTAATATTAAGTATAAAAATGAGTTTTATCCCTTGACAATTTTAGTTCAAATCTTTGATTTACTTAAAGCAACTTTTTTATCGAAACAAATTCGCAAAACATACAAAAATAAATACCCTTTAAATCGAATAATTTTTAGAAATAACTCTAACATTCTTTTTCAGATGGCTCTTTTATATTGCCAGAGAATGACCCTCCCACTACGGCGCCAAAATTCCTGTCCAGGGGTCACTTGTACAAGGTCATCGTCGGGGAGACTATCGAGTTGCCCTGCAAAGTACAAAACCTCGGCTCATTTGTGCTTTTGTGGCGAAAGGGTTCATCCGTGCTCACAGCCGGTCACTTGAAAATAACAAGGGATCAACGCTTTAAGATAGTGGGGGACTACAACTTGCAAATTAATGGAGTGAAGACTCAAGACGCTGGCGATTATATATGCCAGCTCGGTGATCAAGAAAATCGTGACCAAGTTCATACAGTAGAAATTTTGGGTAATTCATTTTTAAGTGTAGCTCCTCAATTTATTTAAATATTAAATATTTTTTATAGTACCGCCCACATTGAGGGCCCTACCACATAATGGACAAGTAACTGCCCGGAAGGGAAGCACTGTCACCTTGGAGTGCAAGGCGTCTGGTAATCCGGTGCCCACAATATTTTGGTTCAAGAAAGATGTGTTTTCCGG